AGTCCCATGATCCTCCAAGTAATTCCGAGAGATTAAACACAACAGGGCAAACATTAAATCCAGAAGGCCAAATCCAGACCCTACCTAGCCTAATGATCTAATGCTCCAGTAGCGGCAGCAGTCGCAGCACGAATGGTCATGTTTTGGCACTGTGATACTCATTGTCAGCAGTACTGTCCAAAACTCTTGCAGCTCTTCACTTCAGCCTTGGCGAGGCAAAAAGAGGGGAAGAAGAGGCTTCGCGAGATTGCCAAAGTCCAAGTTCCGCCGGAGGCCATGCCTTCTTCTGGACAAGTCTGACCTCGACAGCCAGCCGAACTCAAACTCCTGAAGCCTTGGAGCAGGGAACTCTAAATCCCTGAACCCCAAAACCCCAAACCTACGGCTCCGAAAACCCAACCACCACAACTGGCCTCTGGCAAGGCCTTCGTTGCCATGGTCAAGATGTGACGATCTGAGCTTGGCTCATACGCCCGCGCTTTTCGTTCGGCCTTCGCTCAAAGCGGGCGGGCTGTATGCGGCTGGGATGTTGCCGGGGCCCACCATGATGGTCATACCATTGCTCGAGGTAGTGCTCTGAGTCGCAAGGCAAGGCTCGAACCAGTTTTCCTGTAGCCAGAAGCTGCAGTTCTGCAGCCTCTGGGCGCCGGGGCAAGCAAAGTTGGTTCTCGCCCCACCGTCGCTTGGCTTGAGAGGAAAACCCATGAGTGTGAAGTGCTCAGGCATCGAGGGCACCTGCTTAAGCTTAAGCGGCTCGAAAGTCTGGGTTGTGCGAAAGATGCCAAAGCCCTGGTTGAAGGCTCAAGTTTGAAAAAAGGTCAAGATGACTTGCTGAACCTCAGCCCCTCGCCTGAAACCCTAAACCCTAAACCCTAAACCCTAAACCCTAAACCCTAAATCCTAAACCCTAAACCCTAAACCCAAATCTTCGAGGACCTGAGCCCTCAAGCATGTGCTAGCAGCCCTGGACCGCGAGACGATGCCTGGAACCCGGAGCCGGGAGGAGAGGCAGGAATCGCGCTGCAAGAGCGCAGCGGCCCAGATAGTGCCAACCCCCCCAAAACCCCCCCTAGCCGCCCTTTCCCAGATGGTGAGCCCTTCTAAAATGCCCAAATAGAGCTTTGGTCAATCTTGGTTTAGAGACACAAAACTGCAAAGGATGCGTCCTGAGCTAGGCCAGCCAGGAGAAGATACCGTCATACCTTCCCAGCCCTACTTGGGGGATCATGGGACTTAGTAACTAGGGTTGTAACTAAGGTAACTATAATTAATTATCACCCCAACTAGGGTGCTTATAACCTTACTTACTAAGTCCCTGAACCCTAAACCCTAAACCCTAAGCCCTGAACCCTAAACCCTAAACCCTTACTTAAGTATTTGCCCCCAGATTTCGAGCCTCGGCTTTGCAGTGGAGGGTTTAAAAAATCCTACGCAGGCGCCAAGCCCCAGGCGGCAGGAAAGGCCTGAAGTGTCTGCCATGAAGGGGTTCAGGGTTTAGGGTTTAGGGTTTAGGGTTTAGGGTTTAGGGTTTAGGGTTCAGGGCATTAGGGTTTAGGGGTTGGGGTTTAGGGTTTAGGGGTTTAAGGTTTATGGATTTAGGGTTTTTGGGCACTGGGACAGATCCATTCATGTTCTCCCTGAATTAATCTCAACTTTTTGCCCCTTTCCTGAACCCCAAGCTTCAGAACCTTAAATCAGGAATCCTGATCCCATATGGTGTAGGGGCAGCCCAACAGCTTAGAGCCTTGCTTCTTGGGCCTGGGGCAAGAGAACTTGCAGTGCCATTCTTCGGCATGGGCCGTGGCCGTTTCAGCTGCAAGCATTTGCAAGTTGGGGGGCTTGCGCCGCCCTCTGCTCGCAAAGCAGCGGCTAACGATGTGGTTCTATTGGAGGTACCCGTCAGGCCAGGATCAGAATTTTTTTTCAACCCTCAGCTCTTGTTGTGCACCCTGCATACCTCTTGCTGCGCCTCACTCCGCGCCGTCGTGTTACTACTTGGAGGATCATGGGACTTAGTAAGTAAGGTTATAAGTACCCTAATTGGGGTTATAATTATAGCTACCTTATTTATAACCCTACTTACTAAGTCCCATGATCCTCCAAGTAGTGTTGCTGATGCCATCTGAAGCTCCTTGCATGTCACTGGTCAGATTGGTACTATTGCGATGCCCGCCGAGGTGGGAAGGGAGTTCTTCCCCACTAAGGGGTGGGTCCGGCTCCATGTGCAGCTTCCGTGTTAGATGGTGGTAGCAATCCGTTCCAGCTGCAAATGCAGGCGGAAGACGCAATGGCCGGAGCACCACGCCGGCCAGTCGAGGTAGCGAAGTAGACATTCTTGCCTGAAGCGTGCTGCCGAAATCCACGCAGTTTGATGTGCATGCAGTTCGGCACTACTGGGGCAATCCTCAATGTTTTGTTTTTCCTGCCTGTATCTTTCTGTCTTTAGTCAAGAAGTAGGTGTTGAAATAAGCATGCATGAAAGGAACTATTCACATGCAATGCGACAATCCACAACATGTGTCTTGTGGTTACGAGCCAGATCAGACGCAGCCTTTACAGCGTGGAGGTGTCCGTGGAGACCCCAACATCCCCAACTCTGGGCTCCCTTTGTGTGCCATCAGCCTTGCCAAAAGCCAAACATTCGACCTGAGAGTCTGGAACCCAACTCTTGAAACCCCCCGAGCTGAAAACCCAGAACGCAAAATCCTAAATTCTTTAACATATGGGTAGTTGTCAAAATTATGGTCCCTTTTGGGGTACCCTAAATAATAGGTGCCGTATTATAATAAGGACCCCAAAAGGGACCATAATTTTGACAACCACCCATATCAAAACCCGTAGCCTTGGCCTTGCGGAGAAGGACTCGAACTGGTGGCAGCGCTGCTGCCCCACGTGGATGAATGGAACCAGACGGTGGATGGCGCCGGTTTGGGTGCCTTGCAGTTGGGGCTTTGGGCTGAGGGCTTTGGGTTGTTGTAAAGGCTCAAGTTAGAATCGAACATTTGAGGATGAAGGCTCCGCAATTTGGGCATGTTTGTGCTGTTGTTGGATAAGTTCGAACTGAGTTGAGCTTCGGATGTTGATAGCTTCTTCTGCCCTACTATCCCACCACCTGCAGGGCACTACACCCTCAACCCCTAAACGCTAAAGCCTAAACCAACGTTACTTGGGGAGTCTGCAGGTTCAGGAATTTTTGAGGTTCAGGGCATAGGGGTGTACACGGGACTAAGGCTGCTGGCAGGTCGAGGCTTCAGTGCTGTTTGGGTTCCCACCGCTCTTTGTTGCTCTGTGGCGGAGGCATGTTCTGCTTCATTCTCAACCTGAGAGGCCTCAACTTAAATGCTTGCATGAACTCTTTAGGTTTCGGCTTCGGGCTTCGGGTGTGCGAATGTCAGACTTAGACTCCATGGAGGCTTCTGTTTGAGCTTTTCCCTTCGGGTTCCAAGTGACCGAGCACTGGTTCGAAACAGAAACGGGCCCCAGTTACGTTGCAGCCACTATTGGCAAAGCTCAGGCAAAGATCTTTCAAAAGAAGTGAAGCTGCTGGCGAGACACACCCTGTGTCGCGCGGTGGTTCGAGAAACGACGCCCGACAGGAAAGATACACCGTCATCGCCAGCATCACCGGCATCAACACCATCACCACCGTCATCAGCATCACCACAATCAAAATCACCATCGACATCATCGCCATCACTATCACTATCACCTTCACGATCACAACCACCATCACCATTCCAATCATCATCATCATCATCGTCATCGTCACCATCACCACCACCACCAACATCATCATCATGATCGTCCTCCTCCTCATCATCGTCATGATCAGCACCATCGTGATTGCCATCGTCATCCTCAGCATTTTTCACTGTTGTCGTCTTCCTCAAGTTATCGTCGTCATCTGCTACCCCCCTTCCCTTATCATCTCCATCATTCTCATCTTCCTCCCTTTCCTCGTCATGATGATCTTCATCTCCTTCCTCAGCCTCTGCCTCAACATTCCTTTGCTCCTCCTGCCCCTCATCATCGTCCACTTGATGTTCCTCCTCCTCCTCCTCCTACTACTACTACTACTACAGTACTAGTTCTGCTACTACAGTACTACTACTGCTACTGCTACCACTACTGCTACTACTACTACTACTACTACTACTGCTATTACTACTACTACTACTACTACTACGACGACTACTACTACCAGTAGTAGTAGTAGTAGTAGTAGTAGTAG